GAGGTCCCCTTTGCATTTCGAAATCAACTTTGCTGGTCACAGAAGTAAGAAGGAAAGTATAAAAAGAAAGGCAGGCAGAAAGGAGGGCAGGGAGGGAGGAGGGAGAAGGCCAGGGCAGAAGGAAACAGAGCAGGAGAGGAAGTGCCAGAGCCCATAGAGCACAGGAAGAATCGGTTCCTCCAGGAGCCATCTCTTTATTGGCTCCGTTGTTGCCTGTGTTCCTGCCTGTTCAGGGGCTTACAGTATAAACACATTTCTCACCAGACCTCCCACAGTAAGAGCTTTAGAGAGCTTTCCTTCTTCCCCTCTTCCAGGCCCTCCCACGCAGGGGGAGGCTTGCTCCCTTGACTAGGATTTCAGAGGGCAGGCTGCTCCCTCCCAGGACGACAGGCTCCCAGGTCCAGAAGAGGCGAAGTCTGTTTGCTGAGCTCGGCACCTCCAGCTCTCCGCCCACCTCACCGCCCACCTGTCCTCAGTCCGCATCTCTGCTGCCCCGTGGGCACCCGGCACACATTCTCACTCTGGCTCCGGCTCTTGCTCTGCATTTCTTCCTTTATTTTATTTTACTTATCTTATTTTTTTAGGTTTCATTGAAATTCTAGTTAGTTCACATATAGTGCGTGCTTAGTTTCAGGGGTAGGGGTCAGTGATTCTTCATTTGCATACAACACCCAGTGCTCATTACACCACATGCCCTCCCCTACGCCCCTCACCCAGTGACCCCACCCCTCTCTTCCCCTCCCTTCCAGCAACCCTCAGGTTGTTCCCTAGAGTTAAGTCTCTTATGGTTTGTTTCCCTCTCTGTTTTCATCTTATTTTATTTTTCCTCCCCCACCTCTATGTTCACCAGTTTTGTTTCTTAAATTCCACCTATGAGTGAGATCATATGATAATTGTCTTTGTCTGATTGACTTATTTCACTTAACATAATACCCTCTAGTTCCATCCACGTCATTGCAAATGGATTCCATCCTTCTTTAAAGGAACACAGGGCTCCACGCCTACAGGTCAGCCTCCTTGAACCAAGAGCCAGACCTCTGGAAGTTCTGTCCTTGTCACATGAGAAGCCAGGTGTGGGTCTTGGGACCCAGGGAGGTGCCTTTCACTGTCATCTCAGGTCTCAGGGCAGAACCACCTGTGGGAGGGCCTAGCGTGGTCTCCCCGCTTCTCAGCCTTGTACCCCCCTATGATTTTACACGTAGTATTTTACTTGTGCTTCACAATTATTTTGTGGTACACAGATCATTCCCATGTTTACCACCAAGGAAGCAAGGCACTAAGAGAGGGATTTGCCAAAGGCCACATGAGCATGTGTAATGTGGAGTGGAGCTGGAAAGTCAAGTTTTCCAGACTTGCTTTGGAGGAGAAGGAGTGGCCATCAGTTGAGAGGAGGCATTTCTCCTGTGGGGAACACTGGCTACCTGGACAGGGATCAGCCCATGGATGGGAGAGGAAGGAGCAGGGTGGAGACAGACCTGTCACTCTAGCAATTCCGTGGGGAGGCTGGGTCACCTTCTTTAAGTGGCCCAGGAATGGCCTGCTCACCTCTGGGTCCCTCCTTCGGTCCTTGCGTTCTCCTTCTTTCCCTGCTGTTTCTCAGGCAGGCTGACTCGCTATTAGGAGGCCTGCAGCTTCAGCAGGAGCATGGACAAGTAACCAGTTATTACTGCATTCCCTCTCTGATGGGATCTTCACTTTTCCTAGCCTAATTCCACTCTCGGTAAGGGGTAAAATGGGAACTCATGGTATAGACACATCCAACATCTATCTGTTGCCTACACCACCACCCCATCTCTCCCTTCTCCTTATTTTTTTTAAGTTACACTATGGATTTAAATATAAAACTCATCACATTTTTAAAATAAACTCCAAATCAGCATCAGCAGGCTTGAACATGTATTCTACCGATTTAGCCAGATAAGTCTCAGCTATACCATGGGTTTTAAGCCCGTCCCTCTAAAGGAGGCTGAGTTGTTTTATTTAAAAACTCTCCTCCAGTACAGTATTTGGGGTGTCCCTAGGAGGAACTGTCCGAGAGAGTACCTGTATCTGCAGACAAAGTCTTCCTCACCAGAATCTATCTTCTTACAAATCTGTTTAATAGAGGTTTTTTTTAAGCATGGGGGAAGAAAATCCCGATATTCAGAGGAGTGTAATCTTTTTTTGGTCTGCTGTACATAAACACAATTTCTTTCCCGTAGCCCCTTAGGGTAATGATTATGGCCAATGAACCTATGTACAAGGGAACAGAACAAATCAGTATTGAACACCTATCCGCATCAAGGACAGCATCAGGCAGCTCATATGGACTGCCTCCTTTAAAATCCAGCACTCCCCCATAGTTAGTTCTTTTCCCTTCTACGGATGAGGACACAGGCTCAGAGGGTTGATGAAACTTCCCCAAGGTCCCACGGCTGGTGGGAGGCAGGGCCCACTTTAGAACTTGGTTCTCTCTTGCTCCAAAGCCCATGCCTTTCTAGTTTTAAATCCACCCCCTTTGGCAGCACAGCATGATTAGGAAAAACTTAGAACTGTACTCACTGGGATTTTGCATAAAATAACAGGAACTGCTAACACTTGCTCAGTGTGTACTGTTATTTCCCCATTATTTCCTCTAACTTTCCTGCTGACTCTTGAGGTAGGTTCTGCTATTATCCTCATTTTACAGATGAGGAGTCTGAGGCTCAAGGAACCCAGGCAACTTGCCCACAGACTCACAGCTAGTGAATGGAAGAATTGGGTTTTAAGCACTCTGACCTCGGAGCTCGTACTTTCACTCACTAAGCTCTCCTGTCTGCCTGTTCATACCTAAAATTATAACCCCTAGAAGAGCGAGCCTCCACGGTCACCTTCTTTTATTTTACGGACTTGGGAAACTGAGAGTGGACAAGGGACTCATCCCAGGCACAGAGCTCTTAGTAAGTAGAGCTGGGATTGGTGCTTGTTATCCACATCTACCAAGAGGGTCGGTAACTCTTCGAGAGTCACCGAATCAGGGCAGCCTGGACCTTCCTTAGATGCCCCCCTCACTACTCCCCGTTCACCTTTGTGCTCCATGGGCAGCTTCCTAGCTTGTCTGGGGCACACATGTACACACTGGAGGGGGATTTTGTTTCCATTTTCAAATGGCTAAAGAAATGCCCCACCCCTACCGCACCCGCAACATGAGTGTTTACAATCCGCCTTCCACACTAACTAGCAACCACTTCTCACCCGCCTCCTTCTCCAGACACTCCAGTATAGCTCCAGACATCAAGTGAGCCCAGCCTTAAGGTAAAAAAGGATTTTCCGAGCTGAAAGTATCTTCCTTATCTCTTTCTTTCCACTGCTCTGGTTCAATGCCCTCTGCCCTGCGTGTTCAGGGCCACGGTCCCCACTGAGGCTCCTATCCCATGAGTGGGGTCATGTACCTCATCCCCTAGCTTCCTTCCCTCCCTTCAGCTGGGTCCTCGCCTGCCATCTTTTACATTGCCCTGGAGAAAGCCAAGACACCAGCTTTATCTCCCTGTTCTCCCTGTGGTCCTCACCTCCCCAACTCTCTTAGGCTCCTTAGGACAGCTCACAGAGCTTCTCATTCATGACCAGTTCTGCAGCCTCTTTGCTTGGTGTGCCCCTAGCTGCTCTGACCCATTTGCTGTTCAATTCCTGGTGCCTGGTGCCCATGCCTTTGCAATATAGTCCCCATTCCTAGAATATCAACCCATTCTTTATCTGACCATTCCTGGCATGTCAGGATCTCACTTAGCTTCCCTGCCACCCCAAAGTCTTCCCTGAATGCCATGGGGAAAGTGACTTTTGCTTTCCTACTCCCACGGAATGTGTACCTGCATGCGCCACAGCACTGTTATAATTGTTGAAGGATTGCTTTGTATAGCTGACCCTCCCACTAGAATGTGTGTCCTGAGGTGGGGATTCTGCCCCTTAACAAAGGCCTGACACATTATATCGGCATCTAGTAGCAGTTCATTAATGAAGTATTAGTACTGTATGGGAACCAAGAGATGCAAACCCAAATGCGCTCAAGACCAGGTACATATATATTACACAAATATATTTTATTACATGCTTATTATGTATATTAAGAATATATTACATAAAATCCGTATTTCTAGGGACTTTTGATAAGTTCAAAGACTGGACATCATTGGGTCCAAATGGACTGGAGCCAAGTAGTTGCACCTTTCTTGGGATGGAAACTATCATCCTGGTTTGCCAGTCTCTAGCACTCCCTAGTTTTTCACCAACAATGAAGTTTTGTGTTGATGACCTCTTTTCTCATTATACTTTACTATTATATTTCTTATAGTGGAGAAATATTTCTTCATACCCATAGTCTATCCAAAGGTGTTAAATGAAAGAGAAATTGAGAGGACTTCGTATTTTTCAACCTGACCCATTCTACACATTTGTATCACCCGCTTGGCTCCGGTAAGCATTTGAGTATGTGAGACCTTTACTAGAGCGGTGAAAATACACGACGCGAGGTGCACGATGCCTCTCATTTCAGCACCCACGTCAGACCTCGGTTGTGCATCACGGCCCCCCTTGCTCGCGATTCTTCTCAGGACGGTGCCCCTGACAGCCACAATGATGTCCACTGCCATTCTTCATCAAGTCCAACTCTGTCATTTTACTGAGCTGGAAACTGAGGTCAGGAAAGCTTAAGCAATCACTGATCTGGTGTGATGCCCTCAGGAAGCTGATCTCGTGACTCCATTCCCAAGTCGTCCCACTGGGAGAGAGGAAATGAAAACCCGGTCCCCAGTCGGGCTTGTCTTTGGCAAGAGCAGGCAACACACCAGCTGGGCTGAATCTGCTACTTCTTTTTCTCAACCTATCATGAAACTTCTCTTTCCCGTGCCCTGCCCTTGCCTCTCCCCTTCCTGTTGACTCTCCTAGTTCAAACCAACAGTCATAGATTAAGTGTCTCAGCGCTCCCTGGACTACTTCCCATCCCAGCCTCGTTCCCCAACATGCAAGGAATTGGGGGGAGTACTTACGGCACCCGGAGCTTAGGGAACTTCTGGATGTCATTTTCTGTCAGGTTCTGAAATTAAGACACACACGCGGGTTACAACCCACACAGGAAGGGTCCTGGCCCGGGTGAGGAGAGTGAGGTGTGAAATGGAGTAGTGGGGACTGCAGCAAACCGAAGAGCCCACCTCCCCCCACCTACCCAAAGTGACGGCTTCTAGATGTTGCATAAAACAACAGTGGGCCTGATGTGGCCAGATCTACTTTTTCAAAGGGAATCCCCAAATCTGGATTTTAGGTGACATCTCCTGAGTTCGAAGTATTGACAAATAATTTTATGATAAGCAAACAAACATGATGAGAGCTAAATTGTAGAACCAAACAAACTGTTTTGTGGGCTGAATTTGGTCACGCTGCAACCTCTTCCCTAGGCTCTTACCCCAGACTTCAGGGTCCCTCTCAGTCCTCATATGGAGAAACTGTGGGAAGCCAGCCTGGAGAAGGGTTCTGGGCCCTTATGCCACTATCACACCCCAAAGCCTCTCTCATCAGGGTTATTGGTAGCGTTCTCTAGATGTGGGGATACAATAAAGAGGCTTTCCTGAGGGAACAGAGAGGGGAGAGGAGAAAGAAACCGGTATCTGTGAAGAACTGACTCTGGGGGTCTGCCTTACTCACACCCTGATTAACCCTCATGTCAGTCCTGGGATTTAGGAATCACGAGTGTTCCCATTTTACAGGTGACAAAGCTGAGGCTCTGGGATGTTAAGGGAATTTCAGCTTGTAGGTGATATTGCTGGGGCTGGAGCCCAGCTCTGTGGCATCTGTGGTCAGTTTTCTTCCTGCAGACTTCCCTCTTCCCACATCTGATCCCTTTGAAGGACACGGTGACCCGTGCTGGAGGGGAAGAGGGTGGCAAAGGTAAGACAAGGAGGTGTCCCAGAGCAGGAGAGGCAGGGTGCCAATCACAGAAACAGAAAAGAGGGTGAACCCACTTTCCATGGAATGAATGCTGAGCCATGCAAAGGGATCCACCGACGTTCTAACCGAAGCTGGAAAACAGGTGGTTAGGGTGAAAGCTCTGTAGTCAGACAGGCTGGGTTGGGATCTTGGTTCATCCATTGAACAGCAGTCTGATTTGGGGCATACTCTTAAGCTCCCCGAGCCTCAGCTTCCTTATCTGTAAAATACTATTAAGGGCCACCTTTCAGGGGTTGTGAGCACTGAATGGGATGAAGTGGGTCGTGTGCTTGGCTCGGTGCTTGGCACACCCTCTGTGAATAATAAACCTTATGTGAATAATTTATTAATAATTAATAATTATTTTTATAATTATTAATAATTAATAATTATAATAATTAATTTATGTGAAAATAAATAATAATAAGCTGGGGTCTGGCTGTCTCTCAGAGGTTAGTTTTGCCTCTGCTCCTGCTCTGGGCTGGGAGCCGCCTGGCAGGTTGTTGGCTGCCCACGGGAAAGAGCTGGGCATGCTCCCCTTTGAGCCCAGCAGTGCAGGGGCTGGGGCATCTTAGCAATGAGTCCATTGGGCTCACCTGCCCCAGCTCTTGGGCGCAGTGTCTGACCCAGCCCCCTTAGCAGACCTGGCAGTAGGGTTGGGGCTGGAGTTTGCCCAGAGTCCTGAGACAATCAGGCTTTTGGTCAAGCTTCTTAACCTCTCTCTTTTTTATTTTTTATTTTTTTGAGATTTATATTTCGGGGGGGGTTGGTGGGGAGGGGCACAGGAAGAAGGAGAGAGAGGAGCCTGATATGGAGCTCAATCCCAGGTCCCTAAGATCATGACCCAAGTCAAAGTCAGATGCTTCACCGACTGAGCCACCCAGGCTCCCAGGAAGAGAGTCTTAAGTAGACGCCACGTTGAGCGCAGAGCCCAACACAGGGCTCAAGACCCTGAGATCATGACCTGAGTCAAAACCGAGAGTCGGACTGTGCCACCCAGGCGCCCCTCTCTTTTATTCTTTTCAATGTCTCTAAGCAGCAGCTTCGCCTTCCTCCAACACCAGCCCCTCTCAGGGATGTGCCAAGACTCATGTTCAGAGTGGCATGGTGAGTGCGGGCTACCTGGGGGCTGCCAGGCGGCTGGTGGCCGCATACGGGGTGGTTGGCGCCCGCCTTCTGTTTGGCCTAGTTGAGGATGTGGGCTGAGGGAATCGGAGCAGAAGTGTGAGAAGGTGGACTTGAGCATGGCTGGAGACACAGAGGAGCAGAATGTTAAGGAAGAGAAAGGCCTTTAGAACAGAGACAGGAACGGAGAGGAAAGACGAGAGACGTTTACAAGATTTTCAGAGAGTTCTGCCACATGATGTAACCCCTTTTCTACCTCCTTCTAAAACCTCCAGCCACTCTGGGTTACCCGCATGATCCTTTGTGCCTTTGCAGGAGCGCAATTAGGTGCTGAGTGTGTCCTCCTGATGGGCCCTGCCTGGGGAGGCGATGTACAGGCACTGCTGCCTGCCCACTCAGTACGTACTCCCCCTTGCTCCCTTTCTGCCTGGACCTGGATTTCATTTGGGACAGTAAATGTGCCATGTCCACAAACACTGAACACCCTACACTTCCCAGCAGATAGCGGAGGTCATGGGACTCAGTTGCGCCCAGTGAGATATAACCTGAAGTCTACTGGATGGAACTTCTGGAAAAGTTACTATTTACCTGAATAGGAGGGGAGGCATTCCCCATGCAATTTTGTGCCTTTTACTCTTTGCCCTGCCCCCTTCCTCCTGCCTGGAATATGGATGTGAGGTCTGGAGTTGGCATAGCCAACCTGCAGCCACTCGGACAAAAGCCATAGGCATTTTCCATAGACTAGATGGGTTGGGGGGGGCTGGGTTCCCGACGACTTCGTTCAGCAGCTCACCAGCCCCGCGTGCCTGCCCTAGATTCCTTATCACTTGAGAAAGATAAACCCCTGTTTGGTTAAGCCACTGTGGTCAGGTTTCTGTTAAAGGCAGCCACATGCCTTCCTAACTGACACAGTTCCAAACACTTTTTGTCTTCTCTTTCAACCTTCTGGAAGTATGGCAACCCCCTTCCCCACCAGATGAGGTTCTACTCTTCTCACTGGGAAACCAAAATAGGAGCAACACAGATACAAGGGACCTACTAGCTCCAACAACGAAAAGAGAGAGAGAAAGAGAGACAGAGAGACAGAGACAGAGACAGAGAGAATGTGGCCTTCCACTGCTGCTTTCAGGAGCAGAATGGTCCCCGATATTACAAAACCAGGAGTGATGGATGAGAAATTAGAGCTCTACCCAGAGCTCATGCTGTACCCAGAGTACCTGGGGTGGACGGTGGGTTTCAGCAGAAGCTGTCTTTAAACACCCCAGTTGTGGGGCCAGATACCGGGTTCTGCTCCCTGTTCTCCTGGTTCCTAGTGCCCTTCTTTCCATTTCCTCCTGCTCACACGATAAGTAGAATATGCGGCAGTCTCCAGGGACTGACAGGTCCTGGATACAGGAGCAGAGGAGACAGTGACTCTGATACCATCTCTCCACCATGGAAACAACACGGTCTTAGCACGCCCGAGCTTCACACAGGGAGTCTTGTGGGGACTGGAAGGGACTGTCACCCACTGATCCAACATGCTCTTGCTCAGAAGGAGAAGAGAGAGAGGCTCAGATAAGGCAAGTGCTTGCTCAAGGTGACCCCAGAGCATCAGGGCTGCAAGCAGGACCATCCTCAAAGAGGTCTTACTCCCGGTCCACTCAGCACCGATAAGTCTCGGATCTCAGTTCTCAGTGGTAAAGGCACAAGAAGGAAATATTTACATTTAGTACTAAGGTGCCAAGATCAACAGCAACAAAACGCCAGGTATTCCCTAGGCTCAAGGCTCAGTATGAAGAAATAACATCATTAAAAACTCATGCAGTGTTAAAGTAAATTAAGTGTGTGCTTTAGTCCGATGACTAGGCATGGGACTTAGAAAATTCACATCACGTCTCTGTACACATTTCCTCAGTTGCAAATGGGGCGGTTGGAGCCTTCCCAAAGATACTTTTTTTTGCCATAAAACAAGCTTCTGGAAGACAGAAATCACACCATAGTCATCTCTATATTCCTAGGATGTGGCATGGTCCTGTATGTAAAGGGAGCCCAGGAAAATGCTTGTGAGGTGAATGGATTGGTGAATTCATGCATGATTTAGGTGAAACAGTGAACACACATGTCTTACATGGCAAATGAAAGCAAAACTCAGACCAACAAGGGCACAGTTTGGCCTCAGCATGAAACTTAAGAGCTGCCTAGAAAGGGGCAGATGACTATGTGTGGTAGTGAGCGCACAATCCCTAAAAGAATTCAAGCAGATGTCAATGGCAGGGATGCAATATAGGAAATGGTTTGGAGTGCTGGGCAGAAAGCTAGAGCTCATAACCTCTCTGGCCCCTTCTAACCCTAAAGTCTTATGGCTGCTGACCTCACTGCTGCTAACCATGCCTTGCAGGAAAACAAAACTTACCTTGCCCCCCTCACTCCCAATCCAGATTGGGAGCATCTACCCATGAGACTTTTGAAGTCTTGTTCCCACTTCTTTTGAAGGGCAAGGAAGCATGAGATGGGAAGGGGGTAGACTGGTACAGCAGGGGTCTGTCTCGCCCATAGGCAAAGGTGACATTTCAGGGGAAATGCTCAGACCACCTCCCAGCCACTTTCCACCTCTCAAAGCTCCAGGTATTCCCTAGGCTCAAGGCTTAGTATGAAGAAATAACAATGTTAAAAGCTGATGCAGTGTTAAAGTAAATTAAGTGTGTGCTTTAGTCCAATGACTAGGTATGGTCTCTCAAAGCGGCATCTCTTTCCATTCAAGGGCTTAGTCCTTCACGTACGACTGCCTCTTAGTATTATATTAAAGCTCTTTGCAATATAATGGAGTAAAGAGAGTCCTATCACATGTGTTTAATTGGCAAAAAACTGTGGATTTGGTAGAGAGAAAGAGGGATGTAATGAATAATGAGGGTGATTTCACACTTTATTCCATTCAGTGAGTATGTACTACAGAATGAGAGATGGGGAAAAAAGAATCTTCTGTTCTCCCAAATGGTCTTTTTTCCCCTTAGGCTTCTCAAAGTATGGATGGCATTTGAAAAGATTTTCAAGGTGTGTGTGTGTGTGTGTGTGTGTGTGTGTGTGTGAACTGTACTTGGATTCCTCCTTACACTTTGACTTTAGAATGTACCTTGGTATCAGTGAAAGACCTGGGAGGTATCCTGAATAGCAGGATCCTGAGAGGTGATGACAGCAGGAGCCATATAAAACCTCAGAAGATGGCAAAGGGCTGTGTGGGGATTCTGAAGACAGGCATTGACCCTGAGTGTCCCCAGGAACAGGGTAGACCAGTTGGGTCCACCAGGATTGGTTAATGTGTGGAACAGCTTTGGTCTTAATGTGTCAAACTGGCCAGCACTTACCAAAAACCGCTGCCCATCGATGTGATGCTTTTTCACTGCCTTCTCACAGTCCCTGTAATTCAGCTGCAAAGGGGAGGAGAAGGTGCTGTCAGTGGCGGGCAGGTGCAAGCCATTAGCTCCCCTCACTTGCCTGCCCCAGAAGCTTAGCAATTTGTGGTACTTGTGGCTAGCCAGACCCCAACCCCCCTTCCCCCCACTGTAACAGACGGGCCCCATCCCTACCTCAGCTCTGCTTTCACTTGTCCCTTGGGACTCTCTGAAATGGAGAAATTGCCTCCGTCTAAGGTTTTGGGGCCAACCTCTACAAAAAGAGAGTACCTTCAAGGCTACAAAGTCTGGCCACATGCTTCTCAGGCACACAGAGAAGAGGTGAGAAAAAGAAAATCAATAGCAACCATTGTGTCACCACCAAAAGTCAACCTTGGAGAACATTCGATGTGTTTCCTATAGTGCTTTATTCTGAGCACATCTCTAAACATAATGGAGGTTATCACTCAGGATAAGATATTTAATCTTATTCTAACTTTTTCTCTTAAAATTACCTTAAAATGATAATATAGGCACTGCCTCATGTTATCACAAACTTACTCTAAACATTGTTTTCTTTAATTACTCCCTTATTGCTGCTATTCCAATAGTGGTAATAGAAACTGTTGATAATTACTGAGTGCTTGCTGTCTGGCAGGCGCTCTTCAGTGTATTTTAACCAATCTTAAGTCTTTAATCTTCCCATCTTCCAGAGAGAGTCAAAAGTGCAGAAGTTTAAGTAACTTGCACGAGGTCCATGGGTAGCAGGTGACAGAGGTGACAATCGGGCTTCAGAACAAGGCTTTAATGTTCTCCTTTTTGTTAGTAACAGGGTAACTTATAGTAAGTAAAGTGAACAAATGTAAGTATACCTTAATACACCATCCAGATCAAAATATAGAAAGAACATCACGGATATCCTTCTGCACACAGTTTTTTTTGCTCTATTTAAGATAAATTAAGCTGGATTCTCAGAATAAGTTATAAGATCAACAAGAATGATCTTGGTTGTTTTCCCAAAGAGTCACATCAATTGACAATCGTATCACTTTTCTGTTTCACCTTATTTTCAACAGCCTAAGAACTTGCATTTGAAATATCTCCAAATGTGATACTTTGGGCTGGAGTATTTAAGGTGAAATATTTGTCCTGGAGAATCTTTGGTTCTCATCACAAGTGTCAGGCTCACAATTTGTGGCAGCCTTCTTTTGGAGGCAAATCATGGTCTTTTTTTTTTTAATGGTCAATCAATGTAAAAAGTGAATATAATTGTTGTAGTCTCTTGGCTTGAAAGGGTGGGATAAATGTTAGAAAGCTCAGAAAAAGCTGATTTCGAGGTCAGTGTGAAACATGAGCAACATCTGAGGCACCATGAGCATCGTTTCTATTTCCATGCAATGGGGTAGAAGTAGTTCTTGGACTATCCAACTGACTTTAATTCATCATTCACTGTCATCATTGTCAGATAAAGCTCTGATTTTGCAGATTGCTGACTTTGACTCTACATAGACAGATAGCCCCGTGGACTGGGGCCTCTCTAGAAGTTTGATTCTGATCATAATACCTGGGCCTGGGGGCTAGAATCTGTATTTTTAGCAAGCACATAGAGGATTCTATGAGCACCCAGCTTTGGTAGGCAGTGGTCTAGAGCAGGTACCTGGTATTCTAGTTGGGACAACTGAGGCCCAGAGAAGGGAAGGGATTGGCCTAAGGTCACACAGTGGGTTGGGAGCATAGCGGGGATTAGAAATGGCTCTGACCCAGTGCCTCGCCATGGCACAGCCGGGGATGCTTCTCCCTCTTCCCCTCATCCTGCTCTCTCTCTCTCTCTCAAATAAATAAAGAAAATCTAAGAAGAAAGAAAGAAAAAGAAAGAGAGGAAGGAAGGAAGGAGAAAGAAAGAAAGAAAGAAA